ACCCCAGCGCCTGGGCTCGCGGTGGCCCTGGGGGTCTGCTGCTCCCCGGTCCGACCCGCTGCCTCCCCCCCGCAGTACGGCATCGTGCTGGACGCCGGGTCCTCCCACACGGCCGTGTTCATCTACAAGTGGCCTGCGGACAAGGAGAACGACACCGGGGTGGTCAGCGAGCACAGCATGTGCGACGTGGAGGGTAAGGGGTGTCCCGGGGGCCGGTGGCAGGGTCTGTCACATCCCCTGCGGGCAGGGCAGCGTGACGGTGCGAAGGCCCCTGCCATGCCCAGCTGCCTCGCTGGGTGTTCACTAGCGCAACGAGGTGGTGTGAGGGGTCCAGCTCTGTTCCCAACACCTCCCCCATCTCCCCCCAGGGCTGCAGCCACACATACCTGTGGTTTGCCTTTTCCTGGCGTTCACTCAACTGCCAGAAGACAATCCAGCTCCGTGCCTAGCCCAGTGAGGAGCCAGGGATGGTTTTCCACTCTCCATTTAAGCAACCTTTCCCAGGCTGTCAGCCGGTGGGGGATGCAGCGCGGGCAAGGAGATGTGGCTGATCTCTGGATGGCTCCATGCCCAGAGAAACCTGCAGCACCCACACTTTGAACAGCAGGGGTGGGGGGGGCAAAGCTGCCCACCAAGCATCTTCCCACCAAACACCCGCCCACCAGGCATCATCCCACCAAACATCTTCCCACCAAGCATCATCCCACCAAGCATCATCCCAAGCATCATCCCACCAAGCATCTTCCCACCAAACATCATCCCACCAAGCATCTTCCCACCAAGCATCATCCCACCAAGCATCTTCCCACCAAGCATCATCCCACTAAACATCATCCCACCAAACACCTTCCCACCAAGCATCTTCCCACCAAGCACTATCCCACCAAGCATCTTCTTACCAAGCATCTTCCCACCAAGCACCATCCCACCAAACATCATCCCACTAAGCATCTTCTCACCAAGCATCTTCCCACCAAGCACCATCCCACCGCCCGCAGGGAGCAATGCTGTTTCCTCTCCACAGGTCCTGGCATCTCCAGCTACAGCTCCAACCCTCCGGCTGCCGGGACGAGCCTGGTGCACTGCCTGAACCAGGCTCTGAAAGATGTGCCCAAGGAGAAGCACGCAGGCACGCCGCTCTACCTGGGTGCCACGGCCGGCATGCGCCTGCTCAAGTGAGTGCTTGCTCAAACGCTGCCTGGGGGCCCGGCCGTGCCCTCCTGCAGTCTCACCACCCATGGTGGGGTGGAGATGGTGAAGGAGGACCGCGATGTCTCCCCTTCGCCAGGCGAAGCTCTTGATGTTCCCAGCTGCCCGGCTCCTGTCCCTTGCAGAGGTGCTCCTGTCTTCCAGAGCAGGAGATGCTCTGCAGGGCACAGCCAGCACATCCCTGGCTGGCGTGGGGCTGGCGTGGGGCTGGCACCGGGATAACCCCCCGGGCCTTTTCGGCTAGCCAGGAGGAAAGCCCCCCGCACCCATTGCCAGCCCGATGGGACGCAGCGAGAATAATGACCCCCAAAAACCACACCGAGGGACTCCTGCCCGCTCACCCAGCCCGGGGAACGGCTCCGGAGGAGGGCGCACACCTCCGTCCCCGCCGCACAGCCACGGGGAATTAGCTGGGGTTTTGGGGGGGGACATACCTGCCGGTACCCAGGCGAGGACCCTCGGGCTCTGCGGGCAGCGGGGGCTCCGTAAAAAAAACGTACCCCTTCGACTTCCGGGGGGCGAAGATCCTGTCCGGTGAAGAGGAAGGAGTCTTCGGCTGGGTCACCGCAAACTACCTCCTGGAGAACTTCATCAAGGTGGGCAGGGGAGCGCGGCGCCCGCCGGGGATGGCCGTGGTGGCCAGGCCATCCTGCAGCTCATCGCATCCTTACTCCCGCTCTTGTCATCCTCGCTCAGCGCGGGTGGCTCGGGGAATGGATTCAGCCCCAGAAGAAGACCCTGGGGGCCATGGACTTCGGGGGTGCTTCAACACAGATCACCTTTGAAACCGGGGACGCCATTGAAGACCCCAGGAACGAGGTGATGCTGAAGCTGTACGGGCAGGCGTACAAAGTCTACACCCACAGCTTCCTCTGCTACGGAAGGGACCAGGTCCTCAAGAGGCTGCTCGCAAAGCTCCTCCAGGTACCAGCATGTGCTCGACAGGGACACTGGCTGCCTTCTCCACACCCCCCTCTCCCTGGTGTTTCCACAGGGATGTCCCCCAGCCTGGCTCTAGGACAGGCCCGCGGGGCCAGCGCTTGGCGTTTGCCCCCCACCCTCTCCCATGGTGCCAGGGCTTCTTCCCACCCTTTCCATAAGGTGTTGCACCCCTTGGCCAGAGCCAAGACCTCTCCAGCCATCTCAAGAAGCTCGTGGCAACTGCCAGCTCTGCGTCCCGCTGCCCAAGCTCCTCCACTTCTCCCC